TGACTTTAACTCACAGGGTTCTCTTATTACTGAACTTTGAGGTGTAACACAGAAGCCCGATCGACCTTTAGCTGAAATATGTATCCCTGTCATCTTCCGGTAAAAATTATCCGCTGGTATTTCCCGCGGAAGATTTTTGTTGCTTCTAGGCAACCTAGCTGATGAGGATGACACAGGTCTGGACTAGGAATGCCAAGTTGGGCTGGCCAACCGCCACGTAGATTCCATCAGCTGGTAGAGGAGTCAAGTTGAAATGAAAATTTTAACGAGCAGCACGGTCCTCCAACAGCCTATTCCTCATGATGTGTCAACAAATTGTTTATTTTTCGATCGGTTATACGTAACAAGATCCACATATCTATTTCGATTAGCTATGGGGCTCATAGTTTGCCAGGTTTACGTTGAACACAAAAATTAGGTTCTGGAAAACAGTTTAATTTGCACGCTTTCCTACTGAGTCGAACAGGCGACATTTAGATTTTAAAAAAACTGTTCCTTTCGAAACTGCCTGCATTTTAGTAGAAGAGGAGCACAACCTCCCGACCACCGCCTTTTTATTTTAGTCAAATCAAAATATCAAAAAAACCCTGACACTCCTTTATTAACGTTCACCGACACGTAACGAATCTCCTTTGTCCTGTTCTGACCTTGGTCTTATTTCTCGGACCCTGACAGCAGCCGTAGCAGCTAGAAGACTCAGTCATATAAGGGCAGACAATGGCAACGTGGAATGGGCACGTACAGTGGCCATTTCTGGCTTATAAGTCATCGTCAGCCAGCATTAAATGAGGCAGAACGGAACAAGTGAGTTCCGTTAGCGGTCGATTATTTTTTACCAACGAGGGTCACCGTTTATTTTGTTTCATTCATTTATTTATCCGCCAAAGATAAACGTGGCCATCCGAGTTTGCGCTGCGCTTCTATCATCACGCTCTCAGTTTCCGAATGGAGCAGTTTTTTAACCGAGTTGTTTTGTACGGCTCTACTCGCACTGGTTGACGACGGCTAATAAGCCAGAAATGGTCATTTCAATCTCCTGTGTTTTTGCCCGCTATCCTATCTGACTAAGACAACTAGCCGGTAAGGTCGTTCTCAGGGTCCTAGAAATGAGGCCAAAGGCAGAGGGGGGCAAGGGAATTCCGTTAGCGGTCAGTGAACGTTCATCAACGAGTGTCACTCAATCGGATAACACATAAGATAACGAATTAAATATTTTCTAGTCAGCACATATCTGACAAATGGTGAACTCTATAGTTTATCGAAACAGATATCCACCTCTACCTACGCATAACTAATCGAAAATAAACAATTTGTAGGCAAACCATGAAGAATGATGTGTTGGAGGAGCGTGCTTCTCGTCGAAGGTTTCATTTCAACTTGCTACCTCTACCAGACAAATAAAAGGTGGCACTCGTTGATGGACAGTTATCGACTCATGAGAGAACTGACTTGACTCGTTCTGCCTTGGGTCTCATTTCACGGGCCCCGACAGTAGCCATAACGGCTAGTAGCCTTTGTCAGCTAGTTTTGCTGGCATTGACAAACAACTTTATGAGGCTTTACTTTTTTCGGCGTAAGACGACTGAAAATAGAGTAGGACAATATAAAACCCCAACGAAATAATGAGAAACAACTAAATATTGTTTACAAGTACTCTGGTTATTTTAATTTTGCTTGGGAAGGCATACGGCTTAAGAAGTTGTCTTTTATGGCTTGGTCTCTACAATTACAAAGCATATAATACAGGTTTTGTTGTATTGCAGAGCGCTTTGTGGAACTGTTCGCAGTTTTTTTTATTAATAAAAATCGTTTTGCAGGGGGATAAAAAGGTATAACAATTTTCAGGACGAAATAAGCTTCGCTGGCCTCAGGCGGAATGGCTGGTCATGGTCTTAACAAGAAGATTTTAATCAAAAACTAAACCGTTCTTATACCTTCTTTGATCGGTAAACCGTGAAACTGTGATGATGATGAATGAATGCAGGTGTTTCACCGATCTAGTCAAGGAACAATTAGGTTCCGCTTTGCCAAGGAGCTGTGATGATGATGATGATGATGATGATGATGATGATGATGATGATGATGATGGACGATAATGATGATGATGATGATGATGATGATGATGATGATGATGATGATGATGGTTAATGATGATGATGATGATGATGATGATGATGATGATGATGATGATGATGATCGATGATGATGATGATGATGATGATGATGATGATGATGATGATGATGATGATGCCGTTGTGCTTTTGCGGGTATACGGGGTGTCGTGGGCTGTCATTGACGTCACGGCTGCACCCGAGATCTGGGCCATTCAGGGAAGCTGAATGGACGAAGCACGACTCTGCATGTCCGATGGCAGTTGTGATATGCGCGGTTTGCATCAAGGACCGTTACTACAATATGATTCTACTTATAATTTACCATTTATATGGCCAATATTTATGTAGATTAAATCGCTTACCCGTGTCTTATACTAGGTAGAGTCTTTCAGATTGGTTTCAGAGCAATGCCTAATATAAACGCCCATCTTCAGTTATTACTTTGACTTTGTAGTTGAACATTTATGAAGAAAATAATTTTAGTTATGGTTTGCTATCTATACGGTCCATCTAATGTGCGTTCTCAAGCATAACGCTGAGCCGAAAATGAAGTAAACAGAGTGCAAGTGACTTCAAGATTACGTCTGTGATAGGAACATCTGCCCTTAGGTAGCCCTGCAGCAGTTCGACTACTCATCATCGCGTTAAAAAGATTCCTCACGTACAAACTGGTCTTAGTTAATGACTACATAAAGCTCGGAACTAATTTTACGAAATATGACTCCACGTACAGCGGTGTAAGTGTTTGCGCTGGGTAGTGGGCATGACACCAAGTGCCAGAATGGGCATTAGCATGAAACAGTGAGCGCTTTGATAAAACAAAAGTGATATCTAGCACCCCAAAATATGTAACCAGCATATAGTCCACACCCAAGGGGATTGCCCCTTTGGAATACCTTAATGACGCGTCCGTATCCCCCTGCTGGAGTCCAGAGAATCCGCCTACCAGAGTCTCGTCTAACCCCACTTGACCTTACTAACGTTGGCAAGAGAGCATAAATCCTAAGGCGTCCAAATATGCTTCGCACCGAAACAGCACTGTTTGCCAAGCTATACACGGGGTGGAGGGTGGACCTGTAATCCTCCTAGCCTCAACTACCACACTTTTACAAACAGCCACCTTTAACATCGTTTTTAATTAACAGATGACATCTTTCGCGCCATCGCTAATTTATTTAGTGACTGCACGCGGGCCTCGCACCACAAGCAGAAAATAAAGCCTAGCCAATTAAGTTTGCTCCAGACATGTGCAACAGTGTCCCCTTACCGCATCATCCTGCTCGCCTCCATTTGAAACGAACTTGTGCATCCATTTAATGAAGTTAACGTAGTGTGAGTGCCTAGCCTGGACTGATTAACAGTTTAATAGCTCAGTCCAGTTGCGGGGGGAGGGGTGGTAGGAAGGTTATCGAAATATGGGTGAAACCGGGGCCGCCAACTGACAGCTTTTTCCTCATCCAACATTCTGCCCGACTTATCGTACACCTGCTTGAGCATGTTCACCACTCAATTGCAGAACACTTTGTTATGATAGCAAATTACTTCCTCAAACCAACTGCTAACACGCGTCGTCAGGAACGTCATGATCTAGATCACGTCAAGAATAGGCCAATGGCATCGCTGGGGGTGCTCTGCCTTAGTAAAACGCGGGCAACTGCAAACATATATAAAGGTCGGACATTCAATCTGAAGAACCAGCAAGCTACTGCTTAACTTTCTGAAAGATTCAACCATGAAGATAATCGCAATCGCCGCCCTTCTCTTCATATCAGGACTCCATGCCGCTGTCCCTGTGGAGCACGAGATTACATCGACTGCCACATCCCTGACAAAATACCTCCTAGCCGACATTC